CTGTCCTAAGTCATTTAAGTAGCTATCGTCTAGGGTGTTGCCAGTGTGGAAGGCACGTCATATTGAGACGGCAGTCGGAGGGAGGAACAATCTCTTTCTCAACACGTCAAAGATAAGGAAGCGAGAAGCGGAAAATCATGTCGTTGCCTCCCGAGCATATTCGAATCAAAAGGAGGAGAGAGGAGGAACCTGTTGAGACTTTGTGTACGTGATTTCATATTTTTGATACCCTTTTATTTTTTGAATCTAATTTCAATGTGTGCCTTGCAACACGTTGAGTTGCCCGTGGGAATTCCTGGGTAAAACAATTCTACTAGCCTCTTTGGCCCTCTCTGTGTCCTAAATTCTGGTATTCATGTTTTGTGGTTTCAAAGGAATTCGAGTTTCGAACGAGCCTCTTGAGATGCCGACTCGTGCTCTCACTTCATTTTTCCCCCTTACAATTCAATGTTTGCCCGTCTGTTTTCTATCTTTAGAGAATTCCCCCATTCCCCCCTCTAACTCACTGATTAATAGATATTCAGTCTCAGACGCATCAACCAAAAAGGCGGTTCACGGACTTCTGCTTCCAGCGTGTTGTGCGAAGGCCACATAAAGGGGTTAGTCCCAAGACTGACTTGGGCATAATGCAGGGAGCTTCTCCAAGGGAGAATATCAAAGGCCCCAGGTCAGCAAGTACGTCTAATATCAGTCATGGGGTGCCGGTTGTACGAGCTACGGCTCCCGGATCGGAGCTCGAGACCAGGCAAATTATGTCCAAGAAGGAAGGTTCTTTGGGCAAAAACCTTTTGCCTCCGTTATCACCGGCGTCATCAGTCTTGCGAGCCTCACCTGCTACAAAAACGTCTGTTTCTCCGGTGAGAAATCGCTCTGGGTCCTCTTCGGTCATAAGTTCGCCTTCCTCCGCTCTACGTCGGTTTCATATAACCGCTCCCAGTGGAGATTTTGCGAGTCCCTCCCAAAAGCTTCTGCACAAGGTCTCGGGAGGCGTAGTTAAGAATAGAGGCGATCGGGTAAAGAACAGGGCTGTGGTCATTGAAAAAAGATCTCATCAAGTAGATGATGTGAGGGCATCGATTGTATTGGATGACCTAGCAAGCAAGATAGAGGAAGTGAAAGTCAGTGGCGACCATCAAGAAGCACAACCTACAGCTCCTAAGAACGTCACAAAGCCAACTATCGCGTCCGAGAAGTCAGCGATTTCTGCTAGTATAAGAAAACGTCCTGTTGTCAACGATGCTGAAAAGCGATGGAGGAAGGAATCGAAAGCATCCCGATATCTCGATCGAGCGCAACAAGCTCGAGATAAAGACCAGAAGGCGAAAAGTGCTCAGTCCATACATGAAGATCCAAGCTTATGGGACCATGATTCTGATCAACTTGCAACGGAGCTGGCAGAGCTTGCCCGCGAATTAACTAATGCCACCGAAATGCCTGAAGTTTCTCCGAAGCCTGCTCCACAAACTCCACCAAGAAAACCAGGCCGGTTCGTTGGAATTTCCCCCAACAAGCCGGTTCTTGGATACCCCCCACGAGTTCCGAAGTTGACCGGTGATTCACCTGGGACATCAGGCACACGCTTTGACGGAGCAGGTGACGATGGTGACACAGCAAATGCGAAAGATGGTAGACTATCTGCCGATTCTTCAAGGCTTGGCCAACCGCACCAACACGATGAGGCAGATGTCAATCGCCAAAACTTTATCCCACCAGCGGAAAAACAAATTGCGACGTTTGAAACAGCTAGCGACCATGATAGTGGTGATGACAGTGATGACAGCTACGTTTACGATGAGTTTATCAGGCGTCCCATTGAGGAAATTACTGCTGGTCCGCACACTGCTCACCTTCTTAACGGCGAGTGGGTTAGTGAAAACGGAGGCGCGCCGAGAGATATTGGAGTAGTAGTGATTACGGAGGAAGATCTTCATTTCTGGGAATCCTTTGCGGAATCGGACGAGGAAGGGAAAGGGTGGGATTCGGAAGATGAAGATTCTAATGGTACGTCATTATTCATTTCCTTTTTTTTTTTTTTTTTTTTTTTTTTTTTTTTTTTTTGGTGCGTCTTCCGCTTTCCTTTCGCCCCTTTGTCACTCGCTAGAAGAAAAATTTTCGATGTTCCAAATACCTCGTTATTTTCATTTGAATTTCTGTCTCACTATTTCCCTGCGTGTCTGTTGGGGAGTATATTTTCAGCTCTTTCTCCTTAACTAACGCCTATTATCGGGTACTATAGCTGAGGATAATCTCGCAAATGAATACCCTGACGAGGAACTTGAATTCGACGATCAATTCGATGACACCAATACCGCTTACAGGAATTATCGCCGCAATGCGTCCGATGACGAGGAGTTTGATGCGGACTATGACAAATATGAGTATGGATGTGGCGCTTCTAATGGCGCTTACTCCGATGACGATTACTAGAAATATTTTAGAAGAATTGCGCGGTTTATTGGTAATCTAGTCTTGTCCCAGCCAAGTCTCCAAGTCTCTCAGCGGCTGGCTTCACATCACTTCAAAGCATAATCATCGCTACCTATATCAAAATTGCAGACGTATTTCGTATGCTTACATGTCTAGGATTCTGGGCGTGCAGGCTTAGTGCTATGTCTCCCAGGGAAGAAGGAAGGCATGGGGGAGGTTATAGTATAAGGAGGGCATATCATACTTGTTATCATTGTGGGAATTTTTAAATATTGACTTCGGGAAATTCATGTAGACGCGGCGATACGAGTTACTTAACGCTCCGGGAATGGCTATTGTCGGGGCGGATATTTTGTGTCCGGCTTTACTGTGTACAGCCCCGGCATCCATAGATTACCATTTCCCTGAATTCACGTGATGGCCTATTTTTTTTTTTTTTTTTTATTTTTTTTTTTTTTTTTTAACTCGGCTCAGTGGGTTTATGTTTGTGTATTCCGTACAGCATCGAGAAGCGTTTTGAGGCACTTAAGTAGTTATTAAGACCTCTCTCCCTCTTTTCAAACCGCTGGGGTATCTGTATCAACTTATCAGCCCCAGCACAGACAAGCAAACTGAAAAATAAAACAAACTGAAGAATTTCCCAAAGCAATGACCAAAAATAAAAGAAAAAAATCATCTGATAGTTCTCGTCGCTGTTGGCGGGGCGAACTAGCCAGCTGTGGTTTCTAGAACAATTATTTCGTTTCTGCATATATATATATATATAGAACTATGTATTTGTTGGCGTCTGATATCAAAACATGCCCGCGAATAATAACTAACTTAACTAGATCTTCGTCGGAGCTTACTACGCTTGCATCGCGGCTTGATCGAATGGGGGTTTCTTTAAATAGCAACAGCAACAACAACACATATGACGTCCGCGCTACATACATACTCTAAATCGTTATCGTTATATCCTAGCTCCATACGCAACAACGCCCTACGCGAAGCATGGGTCAGCTCAAAATTCGACGGGGGAAAAAAAAAAAAAAATACGTCTTACTTGCATACTTCATTAGAGAGCTATTATCGAGCAGCTGAGAGCAGGCATCCGGGCCGCGGAAAAAAAAAAAAAAAAAAAAAAAACTAATAATCCTCATGTTTCTCGTTTCATAAACTACACAGTTGATTACCGATAATTGAAACTAATCAGCATGTGAAAACTGTTCAATACCATGCAATAATAGGAGGATGGAAAAAGAATAAAACAGAAGAAGAAGAAGAAGAAGAAGAAGAAGAAGAAGAAGAAAGTTAGGAAATACATTCACAGATTACAGATGCCTGCCTAGCTGGCAGCCACGCATGTTGACTACTCTTGATATGGTCCCACACTGGATGCACAACACCCCCCATTGCTCTGTTGTTGGAGTCCGTGCAGGAGTGAGCCTTGTTCAGTTAAATCCCTCCTCTTCGGATGATCTGGTGGTAGGTATGTGTACTGTACATATACGTAGAGTCCACCATACCTATTACGCTTCTTAAAAAATATCTATCTAGCTAGCTGTTCCATGTTTCTCAAAGGCACCCATCCTCACTCTTTTGTCAGCGGGATGTAGATAACGGCGGAGAAACTTTTCATGATGTTTCTCAGGAGCTATTTAATATTTGTTGGATTCTCCCTTCTCCATTCTATGTTCTCCACCATGTTATGTTTCTCTATTTCTATTTTTACTTACTGAGGCGGCAGCTAATAGCTGACGCAAATGGGCGTTAAAGCCGAGCTTTTTATTTTTATTTTTATTTTTATTTTTATTTTTTTCGGGAAGATTTGATATCAGTTTTGACAGCATATGAGCTCCTGCCCCGTTTCAGGCGGGTGGCGCTAAACGTGCAAATTTTCCCCAAATTCAGAACGCTAATGACAGCCCTGACGGCTTCCACTTGACTGTACAGCGTATCCTTGGGGTGGTGATATCAAGCGCTTTATTTAGGTATTCTGTGAAACGTGCTGGGAGCTACATCCTTCGCCGACAAACCCTACCGAAGGAGGGTGGTATTTGCAAAGGAAGTTCGTACGCGCGCTCAATAGTTGTTTTTTTCCCCTAATGGAGTAATAAAAAATAACAGAGAGAGAGAGAGAGAGAGAAAGATCCTGGCGGAGTTTCACAGGCTCATTTCCACCCCATCATGGGCGAGTATCAGAAGACGGTCGTTGCACTATATTGGACTTATGCTCAGATAACTTTTGAAGTACTTAAGGCTCGAGCGCATTCTGGCCAAATGGGGTTTGTCTCTTGGTGAGTGTGACTTGAGTGCCGCCTGTAATGCGTCAAATCCTGTGTAAGAAGAAAAGACGATCCAGGGGGTTAAATACAAGGGTTAGATCATTCGAGCTGATCAAATTGGGTTGTGGTTATGTACTTCCACGTACTAGTACTTGCATAGCAACTCATCAACTTGTTTTTAGCCGTTCAGCTACAACCTAATGCCAGATCGTTACTATATATAGGTGGCATTTTGACTTAGAGGGGGTTAATGCATATCGCATCAAAGGAATGGTGGTGAGTGGAAGCGGCAATGGTTTCATAAATAATCCCGAATAAAACAGAGAAACTATCACAGTATCCTACTAATTTGTTCTGGTATACGAAAACAAACGGAGTATACAGGGGATATATCCGGCACCTGGGGAAACGGGAAAGGGAATTGGTTCGGACACCACCTGAGGATGTGTGGGCTGCCATCACACATAGAAGCATGCTATCCTATGGAAACAGTTATATATATATATATATATATATATGCATGTATTCTATATTAATGTGACACAGGCCATATGATGCACTTTTAGATGTATCGGGGTAATAGGGGACGTAGATTGAACAAATACTGGAGACCCATGACCTCTCAAAAGGACTCGGAAAGTAAGAGCATCTGGTCTCTGAGAGAAAATACTGGGGGATATCCACTAGATATCTTCTTCCCGGTCTGCAAATAAGAACACGATCGTATCAAGTCTCCTCGATTAACCAGGAGCTGGGGGCCAAATTGTGATCCGGGGTAGCCGCGAGCGCCGAAACAGGAATCTTCAGGCCCTGTCAGTTCCCCGAGACAGAAATAGCCGATGGAGAGCAAAAGTGGGCGGCCTGAGGGGTCCGTCAACTGTTCCAGGCGGTGGAAAACGGGGGTTAAACGAGAAGTGGGTCAAGCTGCCAAAGGCTGGGGTAATATTAGCGGGCCATTTGTGGAAATAGTCCATGGAGCCGACGGAGGATGTTTTCCAGCAGTGAAGGACGGATGGGAACATCCGCTTGGGGGCATACATCAAGAGGAGGAGAAAAAGCAAAAGTAAATAAATAAATGGTAGGTAAACGTATAACTGTATGTAGAAGTGAAGTTGATGGTAAATTATACACATGAAGACAAAAAGAACTAAAAGAGAAGTTTAAAAAAGAATAGAAAATTAAACATAGTAATAAAAGCGTAGAAATCATCATATATAAGACAGCATAGAGTGAAACGAAAGGGAGAAGTCGTAAAAATAAACAGGAAGCACACAACCGATAGACATACCCCACTGCCCACACCACTCATGATATATATGAATATGTGGCCTAAAGTTGCTTCAACTACCTGGGCTCGCTTGCTGCGGAAGTTACGATTCACCTGAATAGATTGCATCCTGGTACCCGTCCCGGGTCATGCCCACCCCAGTAAGTAGAGAAAAACCAAACAAAAAGGCATATCCGTTTAAAGTCGAGAGAATCGTAATGCCAGTAATGGCAATAATGTTAGTTGTTCAGACACAAAATGAAAAAAAGAGGGGGAGGGGAAGACGAAGGGCTTCAAAACAGCCAGTTAAACAGAGTCGTGCAACAATAAAATATAAAACTCGATGTCATAACTGGAAGAAAAGTGTCCAGGATATATATGTGATTGCCAGAAAGCGTAGACAGCCTATAATCTTAGAAAATAGAAACAAAGAAAAGGGAAAAGCTAAAATAAAATAAATAAGCTTCATGACTGCGTAGTATGCCATTCCTTCATCCATGGAAACCTGACTTCCGTCCACTTAATAACCCCATATTGCGGTAAATCCTCATGGAAATCGTTTCTTGAATTCGCGTCACTCCCACTGCTGATGTTTTCACTGCCGTTTTCGCCGCTGTTGCCGCCGCTCCGTCTACGGCGTTGCTCTCGTAGTGTCGGGCAGTTCTTTTCCTTGATGAATCTGTAGTATTTGCACTGGATACCCTGGAATCCCCTCCGTTGGCGATTAGGGAACTGGGCGTTAAAGCTTTCACGCACTTCCTTCCACTCCTGGTGTAGATCGACACGATGGTACCAGATGAAGTACATTTCTTCTTCGTCATATTTCGGTCGCGGCGCACGCCGCCTTTCGACAATTGCGGATGAGCCACTTGAAACGGATGGAAAGCGCTCTCTCGGGTAGAGTCCCGGAGAAGAATTCGCGGAAACGGAGTGCGGGGCCTGATGGGAATCTGAATATACTCCTGCTTGACTTTCTATGGATGGGTGGCTACTAGTGGGATTTTGGGTTGAGGTGTAATGCGATTGTCCATAAGACTCTGGATAGTGTTGGTTTTGGTTTTGGTGTTGTTGTCGATGGTAGTAGTGGTAAGAATCGTGCGGGCGGGGAGAAGTTGGAGGGATGGAAGAGAAGTCGGAGGTTTGTCGGGATGGATTTAGCAGAGCACCGATGGATATTCGTGAGGATTGAGAATCGATTGTTGATTGAGGAAGGTATAGGGATCCTCGCTGCCTGTACTCCATGTTGTGCTCTCCTCGCCGTCTGGAGAAAGCTTTTGTTCCGAAGTTCGTTGGTCGTTGGCCGTTGTGTGCAGAATAGAAAGAGTTTTCTGAATAGTATTGGCGTCCCACGGAGATAGAGCACTTCGAACGCTGGTGGTTTTCTTCTTAAATGCGGATTTAGAGGAATCAGATGACGTGTGTGTACTTTTTTTGGTAGGATTTAGGCAATAAACCGATGTGATGCCCGATCAAAAAAAGAGATCGCTCACGGACCAGGCTGGAATAAAGGAATGAGCCTTGCACCTGGCAAGCAATGCTTGGAGTCGAAGTTTACGGACTGGTATTGGAGCAGCGCAAGAGGTGAGGAATAAATCAATCGAGCTAATGAGTCCAGTGGGGAGTTCCGATATACGAGATATGTTGCCGTACGAATAGCTAGCTATCCGAGCTAGTTCAAGAAAGCATGGCAAGATCAAGGAGTTGGGAGAAAGAGACCAATTTTTTTATAGTTTGTTCGAGAAGCCTGGATAGGTATCCTATTCATATATATCGTGCAGGTTCTCGGAACTTTGCTTATGCAGTATTCTTGTTGTTTAACCAGTGACGGGTTGGTCCGATCTATACTATCGTATCAGGATAAAAGACGAGTCGGTTTTAGCAACAAAGCGGGATTCGATTATATTTATAGTCTGCTCTGGAATTTAAAGTAGAAAGGGCTTTATGCAGGCTAAAATAATTAGAAAAAGAAAAGAGAGTGTAAGATGTTAGACGCCTCGTTTTCGTCCACAGGGCGAAGAGCAGGAGGGACTCGAGGGGGGGAGGGGCGCGGCACACCGTTTTATTATCATCAT